TCACCGGATGAGACAATTACAATTTCACGGTTATAAAGCCAGTCGCACTGAAGAAGACTTTACCTCCTCCAAGAAGGTTATGTTTTTGGTGTTTGTCTGAATGTCTGTCAGCAGAAAAAAACCACAGGCCTGATTGGATTCAGAACTGATCCGAATCACAGGGCAGATACATGACAAATATTTTTTCACTTTCATTAGCAATTGTCAATTGTAACACTAAACAATTAAACTAAATTTGTCACGCATGTGCAAACTCGTAATTAATATGAATAGTGTACCACTACTAAGCTTTAAATAAAACATAATACCCATCTGAAACACCCCTGTAGAAACAAATGCAGCTGGTATGTAAGAAATAAGCAGTCAGGGATGTGGAGTCACGGGGATGTAACCCACGTGAATCGTGCAAATCCAAAAATACATACTGTATTTTATGGTCATGCTAGATTCTCGATATCCTCTGCCCGTTTGACAGCAGGCGGGGCACATCTCCTACACACACAGCAGACAGCAGAATTTGAGAGGTCACAGTGGAGACAGTGAACTAGGAGAAGTGATAACGTTTGACGTGCTACATCACTCATGTTGTCGGGAACATTAGGCTATTTATTTTGACAAAATTTACTGCCATTTTAAATGTGTTTCCGCTGAGATATTATTGGCCAAGGTCTGTCGGTCAAGTGCCTTTCTAGTTATTTATGTTAACTTTAATAAAGCATTGTTGCTGGGGGAGAGAGAGGATTGTAAACACATCTCACACCAGGGAGCTTTCCAGAGCAGCTCAACTGGAGCAACAAGGTGGTCCTTGTTGCAATTTTTAGCAGCAATTTATGAGAAAGGGGAGATTTCCTGTGGTTAATTTTCAGCCTGCCAAGTCTCCTGTTAAGTCTGAATCTTGACTAGACGTCTGTGCAGGGGTTTAGTAGTCAGCACTTAGTAGCATCACTACAGTAACCTGTGACAAGTAGTTGGCTATGTGACTAATCATATGTGACAGAATAATTCATAACTAATTCTGAGATCAAATAATTAATTTGAAAAGCTAATTTGATTATTTTTAAAGTTATTACAATATTCCATTTTCAGGACATGTAATTTCACACCACACTAGCATTTTAGCTGCGTGTCAGATTTGATCTCCATCTATATTAAAACTAACATCGAGTGGCCTTTCACATACACTGGGCATGCGTCTGCGGGTGTAAACATTAAGTCGATTTCCACCGCAGCTGCAGAAGATTTGGTGATGAAGGAGAGGGGAAAAGCCAAAAACCACAATAAGAATAATACCACCTCTTTAACAAAAACACCAAAACAAAAACAGTAGCATTGTATTTTTGCCTGACTCATAAGACCCAATCAGGAAGCCAAACGTGAGTGTCTGTCATCGTTTTCAATCTTCTCCGTTTTAGTTTTTCAGAATTCACTGTTTTAGTCTGGACGGGAGGTGCAAACATAGCAATAGGTCTCTGTTTTAAAATGAAAACGTAGTAGTGTTGATGTAGCCTAAGAGGTGGAATGCAGATCCTTGTCTGGTTGGTAATGCCTCAGGACTCCAGTACAGGGATGACACTTCTCAGACAAATGAAGGCGAGAGCTGTCCTGCCCAGCAACTTGGCATATGAGGAGCTAGATACCATGTTGTGCCAGACAGATTTTACTTTAACAGTAGAGTATTAATATACTTCTTTGTTTGTTTTATTATTTATTAAAATGTATTTATTTGTCACCTGGCCGAACAAGGGGGCAGACATGGGGATGAGGGACACAAACACCACACAGACAGACAACTCAGAGAAAGGACAACAAGAGAATGGGGATGGGGGCTGGGGACAACAGAAAATAACAGAGGGAAACACCAATTGCAGAAAGCAACAAAGCCTGCAAGAGAACGGGATGGGGGGCTTAGGGCGGAGAAAAACAAACAAAATAAAGAAAACAAAAAAACAAAGACAACCAGCCGAACAGCAGCAATAAACAGCTGACATAAGAAAACAACTGAGGGAGAAATGAAAACGAGAAACAATCAAGCAAAATAAATAAACAACACAGCACAGCCATGAGAGCTGGAATAATAACAATTAATTTAAATAAGTAACTAAAAGAAGGGCCGAGAACACCTGGCACAAGCCCAGCACACTCCACATCCCGACAATTAACTCCTCTCCAGAGGAGTCCGCGCCTCACCCTGAGGGAGAACAGCGGAGAGCCGTGCCAGGGAGCTCCCCGCTGCCAGGAAGTGATAACTCAGGAAAACCAAGGCCAACAGTCCCCCAGCCCAGCCGGAGACCACCCTTTGCCATCCGCATCATCCCTCAAGGCCAATCCTTCCTCTCACACATTGTCTCTATTGCCGCAGTTCCGTCCCTCCATGACTAAGTGGTACTCAACGCACTTGTAAAATGGAGCTGAGATTGTGGCACAACTTCCTGTCTTCCTGGTACGGTATCTCATTCTTTTACGATGACCACATAACCCAACCCGAAGACATCGACTTATACACCAACGCAGCACCCTCTTCCAGTTTCAGTCGCTACTACAGAAGCAGATGGTTCACCTCTGAGTGGCCGCCAGAACTGTCCTCACTCTCCCCCTCCTCCGCCCTTTATGAACTGTACCCAATAGTCATCACCGCCATTCTTTGGGGGCACGAGTGGTCCAGGCTTCCGAAACACCATCGCTGACTCCCTCTCCCTTTTCTCTTCCCAGAAATTCAAATCCTTGGCACTAGACTCGGACCCCAATCCAACACCGGTCCCTGAGTTTTCAGCCATGATATTCACGTGAATCCCCAGCTTCTCCACCTTGTCTCCGAATCATGACAATCAATGATAAACAGTCTTGCTCCCAAGACCTTCTCATCATACTATTCAGGGTAGTGTACATTCCGAACTTTCCATACCTCATTCGGCCTGCCATTCCACTCCGTCGACATCATATCCGTAACCAGCTTCATCAACTAACCCTCAAGATCAGAACATCCACCATCCACATATACCTTAGTGGGATAAACTTTTTTTTTAAACTCCTGTCCGGAGCACCCCCCATTTCCACAAGCTAATCAAAGGCCTCTGAAAAACGGAACCTCAGCTCTCTCCTAAACAATTAACCCTCATATCAGACCTCCTTGCCCGTTGCATCCATACTCTCAGCCATGTTCCTCCTCGCATTCTTCGGTTTCTCAAGATGCTCAGAATTCACCACTGCCTCATCCATTTACAATCCTACCTGGCACACAAGTCTCTCCGACGAGCCTCCTCATCTTGATGGGTGGCATGGACCTCGTTTGTGAAATGCAGTTATATAACTACAGCACAGGAACAGGACCACACCTCTCCCTCGCACTAATCAACTACCTGTGCCTCATTCAATTCCTCCACCTGTGTCTTCCTAACCCAATCAACTGCACACACATATATACAACGCGTTCTCACCTCAGTGCGTCATTAGCAATGCTTTCAGACAGCGGGACAAAGCGTAATTATTTGACACTAAAGGTACCATTCAGCATCCATATGAAACGCCACCGTTCGCTACATTGCAGCAACACAAAGGAGGCTAACCCTACTTGCCAGCACATCATAGCTAGCAAGCACTTCTGGCACTGCCGGCACCACCCCTCAGCATCTGTATGAGACACTTTGATGGGTACCTTTAGCGTCAAATAACTACACTTTGTCACTTTTTCTGAAAGCGTTGGCATTGAACACCTTGAGATGAGAATAGTCTGGTATATAAACCCGTCTAACCCCTCCCGTTCTCGTCTTCATCCCTCTCTCCTCAACCCCTCTGTCATAAATACTCTTCATCATCTCAATAAAGTACTTTTATACCTCATATTGTCATCGACCTCGTTAGTGAACTGCAACTTTTAATATGTTTGTTTTCTGAATGGAGTTCAGATCGATCAAGGCTAGGCTATGCTAAAATTGTATTTGCTCTATCAACACTCAAAATATATAACTTTAAAATTATATAAACTCACCAGCGTTTTTGTTTATGACAGCAGCTGTGCAGCCTTATCAGTAATGCTACTACTAAAACAGATTTTATGTACACTTCCACCACAGTATGTACTACACTTCAGTTAAATTAAGTGTTTTCTATGCTGCAGTTACTTTGCCACTGGTGACTCATTCAGGACCATTGCTAACAGCTTCCGTGTTGGGATCACCACTGTCTTCAATATTGTCCCTGATGTCGCCACCATTATTTGGGACTGTCTTGCGGAGGAGTTCATGGCTTTGCCCACCAGAGGGGAGTGGAGGTAGAAATTGTCCTCTCTGCTGTGGAGAGCTGGATGGCAAGCATCTCGTTGTCAACCCCCCTGCTAATCTGGGATTTCGTAAAGTGCTTTGATCCAACACCATCCAACTGCTTGCTGACCTGCCAGTACCAGGAGCTGACCACTGAGTCTTTGTTGCAAATGAGGCCTTTCCACTCCCTGGGTGCGTCCCTGCAAGAGAGCGTAGTATTTTTAACTACCGTCTCTTTTTAACTACCTTTGGGATCCTTTTCTTCCCAGTGGAGAATGTACAGGCATGCCATCGAGGTCCATCCAGATGTTGCAGAGAAGTTTGTGAAGGCCACCTGTGTTGTCCATTTCTTCATGCGGAGGACAACCCAGACAGCTACGGTGAGGGTGAGCATCCCTGTTGGTGAGGTGGAGCCACTGCCAGGTCTAGAAAGACTTGCTGCCAATAACTCAGCAAGAGAGGCCATCAGGGTTAGGGAGACATTCACATCCTACTTCTCTGCAGAGGGAGCTGTCGCATGGCAAGACACCAAGTAGTGCACAAACCCAAAACAGCTCTTTAAAGAGCCACCCACACATTACTAATGAGCAAACATCCTGCAATATTACTATATTGTGTATATAAGTCAATAAAAAATGTCATCAATATATATTCATATCAGAGAATATTGTCTCTTTTTATTTTTATCTGTGATTTATTGATATTGTGAGTTAATACAGCTTTATGGGGGATGTCTGCACTGCATCGCAACACAATATCAATAAAAGCAGACATCACTGTACTTAACTTTTAAGATAAATATTCAAAACTACAGTAGTTTTAAACTGCCAGGAAAATAAATTGAAAATGGTACCGTCTGCTTTTATGTTATGTAAAAGATTAGTCTGATGATAGTGCTGAATTTTTGGTTTTCAAATGTTTTTAAGATTAAGGACATATGGATTAATTTAAAATATCTTTAAATGCTAATGTAGATAAGGACTTTGCGGTGTCTATTTTATGTCGGGAACTGATCATGTCTTGACAGCGTATCCTGCACAATCAACAATCATCCTACAGTATTGTTTTTGCACTATATTTAGTGCTGATGTTGTGACTGGAAGTATGACCACATTTAGCAGCTAACCAAACACAAAACTATGTGTACACTGCACTTAAATTATCATAAAAACATGACCTGAAATTTTGAACAAAATATCTATCATGACATAAAGACAGACACATAGTTGTTACCTTTGTGTGTCAAATGTATTTTTGTAAATAAGGAATATGAAGTAACCTTGTGCAAACATGTTCACATTAAACATGCTCAACTTTTTAAAAAAATATTTACAATGACTTTATAAAAAAGAAGAACAAAATACAAAGCCCACTTGGTTCCCTGCAAAGATTATCACCCTGACAACCTATTCCACAGGTTCCAAATTGCGCACCACAGTGCTGGCTTCATAAACAAGCTTGTGAATTAGAATTTTCACATACTCCTTCTGCTGGGGTAGAAAACTCTGCAGGGAACGAACCAGGCTTTGGAGGAAATGCTCATCTTCTGTGAGAGGAGGTGGGACAAAGTACAGCAGGTACAGGAAGTCTCTTCTTGGCTTGAAGAAGAAGCCTCTCAATCTCTGTCTCCCTCTCATCCCCCTGGTCTTCTTTGGGGTCCTCCTCCCTGAATGAAATGAGAACACCATATTTTGTGAAACTATAGCATTCCCTCAAGGTATCAGTTGAAATAAGACACCAGACATTGAATAAATTCATGCAGAAATTATACTATAAAAACAAATAAAGTTAAATGTACATACAGTACCTGTACCTGTTGGTGGGTTCCCAGGTGTTGCATAGACAGCAGCAGCATTTTCAGATTCTCTTTCCTGTGATTGATCTGGCTGATCTGTAGTGACAGTACAACAAAAGAGGCCGTGGTTGGTTGTTAGATGTATGAATTGTCCAATAGAACTGGTTATTCTAGCTGTCAGTGTCAATGAAAGCAATCAAGCATTTCACAAATGCACCCGATTAATACATCATACATTTTCAGCCATGGTAATATCTAGCCTTTTTCCCTCAATCTTTTAATGCAGTGAGTGTTTTCAAATAAATTATCCTAGACTTGCTAAAATTTCCCTTTTGTTTTGTTCATTCTAGCTATTGACTAAAGGAAGCAGTTTCAGTCAGAAATTTAATCTATTCATTGAGTTCTGGTGTTTTTATGTTCTTCTAGTTTTGCTGTATTGCTGCAAAAATGAAACCTATCATTGGCACCCTGTGGTAAAAGTGTTTTATCATCAAGACACAACTGAGAGATGTTTTATCCATCTTTTGAGGAATAACAGGTTGGTGCAGGTGAGAACAGAGATTCATTTTGGGTATTTTCATATTTTATATTGACAGGCTGTGAAAAGAAATCTCTCTTCTGAGACACAAAACAATTAATCATCCATCTACAAAAACATTTCCGTATGAATTTACGATGCTGTGTGTATGTCTTCACTAGTAAACCATCCTTTAAATTAAAATGAATTAATTTATCATTGAGGTTAAAAGGTGCCACGTATTTAAAGAAGTTATTTCCACAAACAGAGACTCAAAAGAGGAGGGAAGACTAAGTATTTGTACAGACTCAGCAGGGATTTTATTCAATTAGAAAAGTTGATCTACAAAAGAAAACATATTTCAAAGCAATAGCTACAGAATGCCTGAGAGCCTCACTGCATTATATTGTATTATTTTTTTATATTTTGAATTGTCACCTCTTGCCTGAATAATGTCTTTCCCATTATATTGATAAAGACATTATTAATTGATGCAGAAATTCTCCACCACTTCAACTAAACCAGTGCTCTTGCATTTCAGGAAAATTACCCCATAAATTTACTACAGTGCAAGAAAACAGTAGCGGAGCTGACACATAGTCTATGGGGGGGACACATTCCCAGATACCAGTATAGGTTTGGTCTCCCAATTGATGCAATGTTTTGGAGGTTAACAATGCTATGTGGAGGCTGATCACACTTCATTATTGACCATGATTATTGACTCTACAATGCTAAAATTGCGTTTGGCTGCTGAACATTTTAAACAGTTCTTGAGGATTGTGGAGTGATGACCCCAACCCCCGCAGTGGTGTTTTTAGGATTAGGCATGTGGGGGGGATCGCCAATTTCAAATTTCGCCTTGGGCTCCAACACTGTCAGGGCTGGCCCTGTTCCTCGCTGACATTCCTCCAAGCGATCTCCTTTTTTGTCCGGTCTCTGTAAATGTACTACATTGTGTCGTCCAACTCCAGGTGTCTACACTACTATAATCTAGAGACAATTTAGAGGAGACATGCCACTCAATCACATCCTCAATACAAGTCCACGGGGAAAGCCCGTAACGACAAAGATGGCGGTTATCCCGCCCCTCCCGCTAGAAAGCCAATCGTCGGCTTTTAACAGCCAAAGCGGCAATCATACTTCAGCCAATCGCGTGGTTCCACTGACGTAAGGGTCTGTTTTACCTTTACTACTCATGCGCGGCAGTAGTGACGCTTGCGTAGTAGAAGTATAACCGGTCGGGAACCGGTCGGGAAAAACACTTTTTAAACCTTATTTTGGGGCAAAGTTGTCAAACTCTTTCAGCAATTTTTATTAGATTTTACTGCTGATTCTAGTCACGGAAGCATTGCCAAGATAGCAGCTGAGTGGCAGGACTTGCCCAAAACAACTCTGTATCATCTCAATGCTGATTGGCTTTCGCAATGTAGCGCCATGTGAATTTCTCGCTGTAGTTGAAAAATTTCAACTTCCACAAACAAGCAAATGAAGTGATTTTTGTTTTGCGTGGCATCAACCGCATCTTTTGCACCGCCACCACAAATTTGCATTTATTTGCATCTTTGCATTGACTTTGCATGTAATCAAGCCGCGTGTAACGCTCACTTCGCTTTCTGTGTGAAGACACAGTAAGAACTTAGTTCATGTCATGCCAGTAACAATGAATTAGTGGACATGTTAATATATTTCATTTAAGTGTCTTGTGATAACTTAGTTAAAAAAGATTAATAAAATGTAATGTGATAACTTTGTCATAAACATGAAATACATTTATGTGGTATTTTAGTTAAAAACATAATTTATAGATATAATTTATAGATATGTTAAAAAGATACATGTGGTGACTGTGGTTCTGAATCTGAATCTGAGTGTGTGCATATTGAATAGATGTTTGGGTTTTTGGATACATTGTTCAAAACTCTTCACACAGTCTGAATTAGCAACATGCATGTTGACCAAAGAGTTAATCTCACCTCCAAAAGTCTCTCAAACCACCAAAACACTTCATACAAATCTCAAAATAAACTCAACCAAAAGACTGGCAACCATTCTCACTCAGAAAGCATGCATTGTCACTCATAACACACTGACCTGCAAAACACTAACAACAGGAAGAATGACATAAATTTTACGAACTTTTATCTTCCAAATGTGACAGATTTTTTCATATAAATCAATATTTCATTATAGAGTTACTTAGTCACTTTGGTTCATTTCTCAGATCAGAATTGAAATTCTACTTGTTCAACCTCCATCATCTAATCACTTGTGCACATCATATGTAAAAGCAATTTCTCAGTCTTTTGAGAAATTGCAAATTCTTTGCTACAGTTATGCAAATGATTATGTACAATTATCAGCTGTATCCTACATTATCAATTGCTTATGTCATGTTGATCACAATGCATCCTGGTTCTCTGTTGAATAGTCTTATCCGCCAAAACATCTAATCATAAGTTCATTGTGTAATCACTACATGCAAAATGGCTGTCAAATGCTTTTTATGTGAATCCTGTCCAATCCCTTAAACTGTATAACTCTGTACTGTTGAAATTGATCAATGATTTTTATCCAAACCTTAGCCATAGTTTACCAATACAAATAGTTGTGCAAATGTTAAGGATGATTCTAGAAATGTACCAAAGCAACTGAGAGAAACTGTAAGAATAACATATTTTCACTTTATTGACTGTACTATAGTATATGTAACAAGAATAAATCAGAAATGCATAAATTTCCTTTTCTCACTGCATTCAGTAATTTACTTGTGGAAAAAAAAGTTCCTGATATTTCAGTGCTGCAATGCAGTTTTTCTCAGTTGTTTACACAGTAACACTGGTAACTGAGACACAGTGACCACATCCTGTAATTCATGTACCGACCCCCTGAACCAATTCTGCTAAAATACAAGCACATTTACTGCTTTACACTTGCAGTTTTCAAGTAAAACCACATTCAAAAAACTATACACATTTCTCTACGCACATAGACGTAAACAGAAAATGTACATGATAAATGTTCTGCTAAGATTTTCTATTCATTAGTCAAGTTACTGCAGAAATGCAGGACATTTGCCATCTTTCTGTTTTGAATGTGTGTTAGCATCTGAAAAATGTGCTGCAGATATACAGTGTTTTGCAGGTGTTGAAGTTGTAATGAGAAAAGAGTTCATGGATTTTGGAGAAAGTGGTCATTGTATGCATTTTGTGTGAAAGCAATGAAAAATTATTCTCAGTTTGGTCTACGTACACTTCTGTTTCACTGACTGTGTGAAGAGTTTTGACTATGCGACTTTAGTTTTGACCAATGCAGGTTAGCAGTTGAAATAAACTGTAACTGCACATCTCCCTGATGTGGTCCCAAAACTGCCTAACTCTTAAGGTGCAACAAAATACGTTGGCATACATGAGTAATAAGTACATATAATTTAACAGTGGCAAATGTATTGAAAATATATACTGCTCATTGTATAATTTGTTGAGAACAAATGATTGAACATTGCTCATTGGAAACCGAAATCACCAACCGACAACACTGAAAAGAAAATCACAGGCTGATCCAACCTGCATCGTCCCTGGTTCTCCCACGTTCTCACTCCTTGGTGGCGGGGGGGCATCCCGGCACGGCTCTCTGCTGTTCTCCCTTGGGGCGGGACATGTGGTCTCGGGTCCTTTGCGCTTTCGTAGGGTGCCTTGGCTACTGGGGTTCTTGCCTGCCTGTTGCTGGGGTCAGTTGTGGCGTCCCACTCTCACTAACAACTACATTCTGTGACAAGCTTATGCACACACACACACACTGAGGTTGTCCATGGTTGTCACAGGTAGAACTTTTCTATTATGCTTTTCATTAAATTATTTATTTAAATTAATTGTTATTATTCCAGTTCATTATTTATTTTTGCTTGACTGTCTTTCCTTTTCATTCTCCCTCAGTTGTTGTCTTATGTCAGCTGTTGTTCCTGTTTCGGCAGGTTGTCTCTTTGTTATTTTTTTGTATTGTAGTGTAAAAAGCGCGTATTGTTTGTTTGTTTTTCTTCGCCTCAAGCCCCTCTCCCCGTTTTCTTGCACGTTTCGTTGCTTTCTGCAATTGTTGTTTTCCTCTGTTTCCTGTTGTCCCCACCCCCCGTCCTCCTGTCCAGCCCGGTGACAAAGGAGTATATTACAGTTTTTCTCAATTGCTTAAATGCTATAACAAGGCATTTGAACTAAAATTTCAAAACCATAACTCAATTTTCCAAAAAGCACACCCATTTCTCTAAACTCTACACACAATTCCCTTCATTTCTCATTGCCTACACCATGTGGTCATTGAGAAAACACAAACAGTCAAAGTTGATAACACACCAATCAGAAGCTTCAATAGATAGATAAAAAGGGTCAGAGTCAGTTCTTTCAGTTTTGGAACAATGGATCCAGAGAAATCTGAAGGAAGAGATGGAGGACACCAGAGAGGAGGAGGAGGAAGAGCAGTATGGAGAGGAGGAAGAGAAAGTAGGAGTTGGAGGAGGAGATGTGATGGGAGTAAGATGAGGAATAGGAGGAGGGCGGAGGAGGAGGTAGAGGGAAGAGGAGGGTGGGAGGAGGAGGGAAATGGAAGAGGAGTAGGGAGAAGAGGACGGAAACGAGGAGAACAAGAATCTCCGGCCTGTCCCAGACCAAAGACAGGACGCTGGGGCAGAATAATTAGTTGTTTGGTGTGTTGTACTGTACAGCACACTAAGGAATAAAAAACGTGCAAATGTTTACATTTGTCATTTCTTTTGTTGTGTTCATCATGTGAAAAGGTTTTTGAGGTGGAGAATCACAAGCATCATTACTAATAACCAGTTTTTGTAGTATTGTTTTGAATTTATCTCACCAATGGGTAAGACTGTGTTGTAGTGTGTGTGTGTTTTTAAGGGCTTGTGTGTTATGAGGGCAAATTTTGGTTTTTCAGAAAGATTGAATGGTTTTGAATGGAGAGCTTCATTTTGACCTGAAAATAGGATGTCTGAGGAATTGGGTGAGAAGTTGTGGATTTGTTTTCAGAGTTTCGAGAAAAAGAGGCAAAATTTCAAGAAATGTGTCTAAGCAAATGAGAAAAACTTTAAAACTCTCTTATTAAAGTGAAATCTGGCACAACTTGGTATTCAGCTCCTCATACTGTATACCAGGCTGTGGGGCAGGACAGGTTTAAAAAAGAAATAAAGGGGGGACCCAGGGCCCACTGCACCAGTGTATGGTCTGACAATGGCTCTGCAGATTTCATCCTGGTACCTAACAGCAGTCAAGGTACTGCTGGCTAGCAAGTGGAGGACTGTGCGAAGGATATGCCTCCCCAGACCATCACTGACCCATTGCTAAACCAGTAATCCTGAATGATGGTGCATCCAGCATAACGTTCACTACGCCGTCTCCAGACTATTTCACGTCTGTCACATGTGCTCTGTGTGAACTTGCTCTAATCTGTAAAGAGAACGGGGCGCCGATGGCAGTCCGGCAAATCTCTTGTTCTCTGGTGAATGCCAATCCAATAAGACTTGGCCAGGGGTGGCTGTAACAACCATGATGACTGTCGTTACCACAGCCAAGAGCACTAACAAACCAGCGGTATCATCAATCTTAGCTAACAGTCCCAGAGGTTAAATAGCGGAGTTTCCCTACCAGTCAGTCAGAACTGAAGAAGCCTCTTGGATGAGGGACGAAACATCTTCTAGTAACTTCTATCAAGTCCAGTTGCCCTTGACCTCAACCTTCGTTGGATAACTATGTGGGTCACGTTAGTTACAGCGACTGAGATGGTCCAACAAAAGTAGGCTAATAAATTAATAATGTGAATTCAGTTTGGCTATTGTGGAAAGAATATGACAAAGGTAGAAAAGAAAATGTAAGGACGACTTTAAATTGTCACAGGTGGCGCTGAGTGCAGACAATGGCGAGGCGAGAGGAGAGGAGGATGCAGTTCAAACAAAGGATTTATTCATTCAAAAACTACACTAAAACAGGCTTACATGGAGCTCAGGGCAAAAGTCCAAACAAGGTAATCCAGGAAACACAAGGCGATCCAAAAACACAGGGAATAATCCAGAACAGGGAAAACGAAGGAACAGGCAGGAACACTATATTATAACCTGGTTGAACCTCTCTGGAGTTCCATGATTCCTCTCACCTTGCAGACACAGGTTTGTGATTATTTCTACACTTGAAGGCAACACTTTGGTACAAGCATATTGCTCATTTACACCCATTCGGATTCATATTTTTCATATTCAAGGTTATATATACAGAGAGACAAGCAGACAGGCATAATGACAGCAAGAGGGAACAGAGAGACACTTACAGATGCAAGACACCATACTTTAACAACAAGGACCACAGGCTGAAGCAAAGACAAAACACATAACACATAAGAACACAGAGCAGAAGTAAACACTAAGACATGAACTAATGGACAGGACTAAGAACTAAGACAGATGAATAATAATGAACAAGGCTACACAGAATACACAGAACCAAAAACAGACTTAAACAGGAAATATGAACACAAAAAACACATTCCTAACAAAATTGAGGCTATTGGTTTCAGGACTTGGCTAGAACCGGGTCTTTTTTCCACAGTGGGTTTGCCCGGGGTCCTTCGTGTTCAGCTTGTGGCTGCTGGACACTCTTGCAGTGATCGGACTGTTAGCCCTGGTTTGGTTCGTTGGCAGAGATGGTGACTCGAGTTAGAGACTCGGACTCAAGTGCGACTTAAGTCGCACACACAAGGACTTCAGACTCGACTTGAGACTCGTCCTCAAAAGACTCCAGACTCGACTCAGACTCGAGGCACGGGACTCATGAACAATGTTTATTTTTTAGGAAACGTCTGATGAGCTTGCCGTTATTCCCTCCCTCCGTTACCTATGACCTGCATATGGAACACGTAACATCTGCTGCACGCGGCTGCACGTGAGAAAGGACAACAAACACTGCAGCTGCTCCGCCATTCATCATAAACTTTGGCTTTAAAACTTCATACAACAAGAACCAAACAAAGAAGCGCTGAATGTAAAATAGGTTAGTAACCTGAGGTGAGTAAACATGTTTAGCTCAGCATTGGCCATCTAACGTTAGCTTGCTTCTTGCTTCAGCTACGACCTGCGGGAGGTTTACTCCGACTGTCGTGCGTTATGAAAAGATAAACAAGCGTTTGTTTACTTGCCAAACTTGTGGTGGTTGATAAACGTAATTATTTATGTCCCGCTGGCTGCCATCACCTTAATTATTGCCATTGGCTAGAAAGAGGTTACAGGTTTATTGTTGATCATGTAGCCTAACCTTACAGTTTGATTTAGTTATTGCCCAACATTACACTGGTTTGAGAGTGTGCAGGGTTTGCTGGCTTACAGTAGTTGAGGCTATCAATGATTGTATTGCACATTATAGTTGTGCTCTGTGAAAAACAGCTTACAGTTTATTGTTTTGAGAGTCTGGGGGATGTGTTGACTTACAGTAGTTTAAGTTGTCATTGATTGCATTACACATTACGTGGTTGTGCTCTGTTAAGTTAAAAACATGTTACAGCTTTATTGTTGACCATGTAACTTTACAGTATTATTTAGTTAACTTTACACTGGGTTTGATACTCAACAGGGTTTGTTGACTTACAGTAGTTTATAAGCTGTCATTAATTGTAGACGCATTGTACATTAGGCTACATGGTTGTGCTCTGTAAGTTAAAAAACAGATTGATTGATGATTATGCAGCGTCATAGTGTGTGGAAGTATTTCGGTTTGTACTACATCTACACTAGTGGTTGTAAAACGAAAACTATCTCGGTCCACACCAGCTTTTTAGCTGTGTTTCAGAGACAATCTCTGTCTATATTAAAACATGCCAATGTAAACTGAAAGAATGTTGCCTTCGCAGCTGCAGAAGATTTGGCGAAAGAAGAAAGTACTACTACAGATGAAAAACCACAAGAGATGTTTTTTGCATGGACAAACAGCGAGGTGGAACTCTTACTGAAAGAAACACAGGAGTACAAAGCGACTCTGGACTGGGAGTCATCGCAAAGTAAATATGGCCACAAACAAAAACATTGTCGGTAGCATTGTGTTTTTGCTTTGCATAACTTATAAGATCCGATAAAGAAGCCTAATGTGAAAGTTTGTGTCATCGTTTTTAAAGTCCTCATTTTCGCCTGTCCGCAATAAAATGCTATCCTGGAGTTTTAAAACAAAAACGGGGTCAGCTGAGTGCAGTCTAAGGTGTGGACCCAAATGCAGACAATACGTGAAGGTGCAGTACAAAAGATTTATTAACTCAAAAAAGACAAACTGAAACAAGCTTACATGGAAGCACAAGGTAAAGTCCAAACTGAGGTAAATCCAACACAAGTTAATCCAAAGATCCAGGGAAATACAGAGCTCTAGGCAGAACACTCCACATTGACAACAAGGACATGTCCAAGACTGAATACACAAGCCGGCATATATACACAGGGACTAACGAGCGGGGCGGGAGCAACACAAGTGAGGGGCATCAGGACTAATGAGACACAGACAGGCAGAGAGACAGCAGGGGAAAACAGACAGACACAAATAAGGCCATAGGGAAACTAATAACAACCAGGAAGAAACAGAATAATATAAACAACTGATCCAGAACATAAGCAGACAGATCACTAATATACCAATAAACTACCACTAACAGCGAAGACAGACTGAACTAAGATTAAAGAGAACACAGAGCAAACATGGGCAAAATAATACAGAAGTACACAGACCAGGAGTAGACACTGAGACACGAATTAAAATGCAGGACAAAACTAGAATACGAGACAAAACAGATACAAAGTAAACTAGAACATCTGAATAAATAAAATAATAAACAAGGCTACACGGAGAAACACAGAACCAAAACCAGACTTAAACAGGAAAATATGAACACAAACCATACTCACAACATTGGCCTTTAACCTCACTCCTGCATATATTTTGGTTTATCTAGCCTGACTGTCACAGAGTAAATCTGCTGGATCGTCCGGAGGGCTGTTCAAATCACCTTCCTTTGATCCCCTGGTTTTCCACTGAATAACGTGATGCAGTGATGATGTTCTCATCTAAAAATATAAATAAGGTCAGGCACTTGCACATTCACTCACTCCAGCCTGTAATCACTCCACCTCATCTGAATACTAGTGCTCTTGATTTCTTGATGGCGTTTCCTCTGCCCTCTGAGAGCCTGTTAGGCAGCTGATTGGCCTTGCAGTGTGAAGGCCAGCTTGACAAGCGTATGATGACACACTACCAATGCCTTCCAAATGTACCAATGTACCTCATTAGTCTAACTTACACACATTTAATTATGTACTTGGGGAAAGACAAGTCAGCTCCTCAACCTCTGGAATCAAAGAGCATCGAAAAATTTCCCCAAAGCCATCACTGTAACTATAAGGTAACAGAACACACCAACATGGCAAAGGTCCAGCTGCGCGGGGGAGGAGATGCAATCAATCAATTAAGCAGTCAAGTTTATTCGTAACATGTAATCAAATACAGTACCATTACAGTGAAATGTAATCCTACCAGTTCTTTCAATTTGTATTGTGAAGGTGGATACTTCAGCAAACATGGTGCGGGACAAGACGAAACATGGTATGGAGACCAGCCGTCGGCTGACACAGCCACTGTCAGCTTGCATAGTGTGTGACCCCCTGTCACCGATCACCGATCAGTGTGAATGCCACAACGACGTCAAGACTCCCATCACAAGACGGCAAGTTGTGTAGTGTGAAAGCCATCGGCCGACGCTGAAAATCGTGTAGTCTGCATGAGCCTTTAAGCAAAGGAGATATTCACCAGGGTACTGTGGCTAACACTGACGTGTCGGTCGCAAACAAGTCAGCTCTATGAGCCCGCTCTTTCAGCCGATTAGCAGTGACCAGCAGAAGTTGAACAAAATGAAGAGCTGTTTGGGAGCCATAAGATCCAGCTCCCTTTAAAGAGCCATAACGCCATCACTAGGCCTCAAGGTAGCAGTAATATTTAGGCCAGTGTTACAGGGAAGTGACGTGCAATCCAGGAACAGTAACTTTGCTGGTTTAAAAGAGATGCCAACAATGCAAGGCTTTTTGATTTTTGTAGAAGTCCCCACAAATGTGTCCGCTGCATTTCTATTAAAATCCTTACAAGAATCCAAATAATTCATTTAAATTTAATCTTGTTTTCTCTCACTGTAAATAGACACTGTTAAAAGTAGATAGTTTGCCATTTCAGAAAACATTAGATAAAGATGGAGTTGGTTAGCTAGCATAAAGACTATGTTTAGTCAGCGCGAGGTTGTCAGGCGGAGACTCCTGATGCAGACAGGCTAAAAGGCTGTTGATTATAGCTCCATATACTTAGCACACAGATATGAGAGTGGTATCAATCTTCTGGTCTAACCCTCAGCAAGAAAATGGGTGTGAGTATTTTCCAAAATGTTGGAACTATTCCTTTAAGGGGATTCATGTAAAGACTTTATATTATGATCTTATTGATCATATTTGCCTTCACATGGATTAGAAGATGACACTGAAGTGGATTTTCACTCCTGTCCCATCCCAATCCCATGACAGAGTAAAAAAAAAAATCCTATCCCAACCCCGTCCCAAAAGAATGACTCCCATCTCAAATGTATTTCATTGCTACACTACATGTTTTTAAATCTAATTTAGGCCTCATGTAGTTCATTTTTCACCCATGAGGAGGAGACCAAGCATGAATGACAGGAATACAGCTTATAAAGCTTTCATAAAGACTCAGACCTCTGCAGACCGTGGCCACAGGGCTACAACCACAACATCCTTGAACATATTTCCCTGTCGCGATGATAGCAAGTACATGACAATGTGTCATTTATTATTGTCATTTAATTTATTTCCTTTTTTCTCTCATGCCCGCTTTTTCTTTCTGCCCTTCTGTTGACTTTCCCTCCCCACAAACCTATCTGCCCCAAAAATGCCAATGTCAGCACCCAACAGAGACCAGAAGAGTAGCACACCACAACCATGATGGAAAAGAGCATGCTAGGAGACTGAATCTCACCTGTTCAATTTGCATGCTTGTTTTTATCTGAAGACTACATAGTTTTTTGTCGATGTGTTCAGTCTCATCTTTTAATTAAAAGGACCACACCACAGGGTTGCTTTATTCCTCAGGGACAAATCATGTAGTGGAAGATGAATAGTATAAAGGTCCTGGACAGGTTTTTAAACAGCTTCCTGTGGTGAGAGGCTGCACACAAACCTGTTGTACTGTGTTCTCTCTCTCTCTCTCACTCTGCATTGCTGCATCCAAGACAGTGGCTATAAGGCTCTTCTTTATCTCCCTCCTTCCCCCTCTGAGGTGGAATTGTGTGTGCTTTATCACTGGCCTATCCCACACACTCATGGAAATGGGATGGCCTTTATTCATCTTGCTCTCTTGCCTGGGAACTAAATCTTCCCTGCACTGATGGAAGACCTCTATAGGACATGTAATTTACTTTTATTTTAATTTTTAGCTTCAGTCATTTTTCCATGTCTCCTTTTCAGAGTGACCGAACACATCTGATTCTCTGGATAACAATAAAGCAAGGGGCACATTTCAGGATTGAGGTGCTTGCATATGTAGCATGTGATTCCGGTAAAATACATCTGAAGAAAAGGACAAGTGCCATTATTAGCAAATCCCAGGCAGCATCCCAGAAGCATCATTGATTTTAATTGCATGGCTGTCATAAAAAACGATCTGCCGCGGGCAAGTACATAAAGCAGAATCCCAGGTTGGACGGTAAATAAAGTTCACGTCAGTCTTGCTAATCAAAGTTTTTACCTCTAATCAGTTGACCATATTGATTTGAGCAATCAAATCAATATCTGGACTGCCGCCACCTGCTTTCCTGAAATGAGCCATCAGTATTCATGGGATCACTTTGAGGTGTTTCATATGTAGGTGATGGAACTCTATGGGGCCATTACAGTGTGCTCGATTTATCTTCAGCTTCCCCTCGGTATACAGCTAAATATTTGAAAGGCTTCTATGAATTTGCTAGAAGTCACTTAATTTTTTATGGATAAGGCTGCCTCCCAAGTAAACCCTGCGTAAATACTAATGTGGAAATGTATTGCATAGCTACTGTGTGCACAAGTGTACTCACATCTGAGTCCTTTGTGTGTTCATGTGCCTGTGTCAGTACACATCTGTGGGTCTGTGTGAGTCCCTCATTTTCTTTTGAGCGTGTAAGAGAGAGACAGAGACAAAGACAGACAGACATGCTGTCTCCGAAAAAAGAGTTTTCTCTGTCCATTTGTCCAGATCCACCAACCTTCCTAGCCTGGTTATTTGACAATCCTGGGCCTTAGCTGTTTCAGGTGAAAAGGTGACTCCAGAGATCCAGCAGCTTTCCCCAGGTTATCAGCAGCCTCTCCATAAGTACAATTCACTTCAAAATTAAAGGAAATGGCCACAGTTGGGGTGTGCTTCGAAGACATCATCTGTTCTTTCTTTCACGTATGTTAAAGACACCCTGTGGAGTTTTCTCATAAAGTTATGTTAAGGATGTGGCGGCAGAAACAAGTTGGGAACACAACGGTGACACATCATCACATTTTTAGGGTAGTTTAACAAAAATAAAGCCTTTAGTCCCTTCATGTTGGTATGATAAACTAGAAACAAGCAGTTGCCTATTTATACATTTAGTAGATACAGAGCAACATTATCATTCATTTGAGCTCTTTAAGCTCTGTTTTTGGTTTCTACCAACTCCAAATCTGTGCTCTTTAGCTAATAAATGCTCCACCATGTTCACCAGCTAGTTGCTAACTGTCCGCTGTTTGATGCTGGTCAGACCGTGTACAATGGGTAGATGCAAAACTTTGCTGTGGCAGAGGTGAAAGTGAACCAAAGCTGTGAAGTTGGCCAGCTAAATAATGAGCTGAAACTATGTACTCTCGCAAAGCTCATCGTTTCAGATGTACCAAGGGACAAGTAGTCAATTCCTGGTCAAAAACAGCACATTAATTACACACAGTTGTTTAGACACAGAGTTGTACTTTTAGAAGTGCATGAGGCTGTTATTACCACAGAGGAGAGGACATTCTTTATGCAACTACTAGAGGGTTTATTCCAAGGTATAAGTTAAAAGGTAAATTTATCTTTCATTTTACATTTTTCCCTGGTCCATCTGACAGTCCAAGAATGTTAACTCAAAAGGCCAACACGTCATACTGCTTCAGTCTGCCCTTGTTTTAACAACCCTGTCTACCCATTCACAGCACTCCTCTGCTTTGTAATTTCATTAAAAGCATTGGATCGGTACAGTACATATATCTCCTTCACTGACTTGGACCTCAACCTGTACTCGCCTCTGCCAGGAGTGTGGAGTCGGTGTCCGAATGTGTGCTTGATAAACATAGGGGTTAAACTAAGATGAACAAGACCTAACAATAGTTGTTAAAAATAATGATAATAATCAAAAAATGTAATAATTAAATGTTTGGTGTTGATAACTAAAGGGATGAAAAGAATTAGGATTACAAAGAAACAGAGGCAACAGAGAAAGATTGAGTCATTTAATAATCCTCATCATCTCTCATAAATGACCAGACAGGGAATATCAGTCAAATAATTGTGGCTGGTTAAAACATGCTGAGACTTCTACTGAAGAGATAAATGCTTTTCATTTGTTAGGCACTGCTGCATGTTGATATCAATATGTGAACATGGGGTTTAAATATAGTGTATGCACATACAATACACACACACACACACACTGTCATTTTAGTTTTAATGCCATAACCATACATCACACTGAAGTGCTTCCATTTAAAGGCAGTAGAGATTTCACAGCACACTCACACACACTCAAACACACACACACACACTCACAAGGGGTTTGTCTGTTATTGTGAACCAGGACCTAATACTACGACACCTCTTCCACCAGGAGATTAATAGAGAGCGATTTTTTTTAAATCACTATATTAACTGCATACTATAAACAGCATTTGCTTCTTGCTGGTCAGGATGTATACACAGTATAGCTTACACTAGTGTCCGAGGACAAATTATGTTTTGGTTTGTTCACCGTCATACATATACATAAATCCAGTCCCAAGAGCTTTCAACACAGAAGTCTGGTCAAAGGGCTTACATCAATCTCTTGCTCTGTGGCGACACACTGTTTTTTGTAAAAAGTCTGACTGAAATAAATGAAGCCAAGTAGGCTACAATATGTGCTTGTCAAACACAAGCTATGAAGTGGAGATGATGGTGGATGATTTGGGTCACATGACTTGGACTGAAGTCAGAGACTTTATCACATGAATAAATTACTTTATGTAAATGATTTTACAGTTCGGTGACTTCAGAACAGTTTGTTAATCAAGAAAGAACACTGGCTGAAACAATAGGACAGAGAAGTTCTTTTTGAGTAGTCGGGCAGGTCACACAGAGCAATGTAGATCCAAAGGGATCCATGGCACTCACCTGGAAAAATAAATGTTTCTGTAGTTATTTTTAATACAAATACATAGTGAAATGAATTGGTATCAGCAGGGTTTGTAGCCTGGATCCTGCTGGTTACATGACCACACCTCAGAGACAGAAAAAAGCCAGATAGCCTGTAGGGTAAATCAAAAATAGAATGCATTGAAAGTCAGATAGAAACATCGGGGCGATGAGTTTTTAATTCCCAGCAAATGGCAAACGGGGAGAAATGCAACAGTATTTCACCCAAATGCCACACCGGTGTTGTAGCTGCAACTTGCCAGAACTGGAGCCTTATTTTTTACTGCCATCTAGTGACTGAGATGCTATTATTTCTTCATTGTTGTCAACTTGTCCATTTTCAGCAGTTGTCTGGGATATGAATTTGTCAGCAGACACATAAAATAAATAGGAGCAAATACAGTATATCCACATTCAGCCAGAGACCACCATTTCATGAGATTTCATCCCTAATTGGCATGACAAATTAGCATTTCATACTGTCATTTGAGTCTGTAATTATCATGGCTTGTACTATGTACTTTCATAGGCCTGAGACGGCATCATACTAAGTAATTATGAGAACCAGATGTGCAGATTCACACTGTTAGAGGAACAAGAAAACCCACTGGCTGTAGGTGTAAATGGTGTGTCTTGTAGAAAAATAAACGTAATCCTGATGATAGAGAAGTGTCTTCTCTTGACTTCTCATGACAGACGTTAAAAGGAAATCAACGGAATGCTGATGACATTAAAGAGGAACACTGTCGCTACAACATGTCACTGGGTCTCCATTTTGACATATTCAAAATTACACCCTAGAGGGGCACTCTAGTTTTTGTTTGTGCTGACTTGTCTTGGAGGCAGTTTTGATGAAACAATTGGGAATGTTGCGTGTTCTGTTCTACTGTGATATGAACTACAATATTTGTTTTGTTTTACTGTCACAGCTGAGTGCTCTCCGAACTGCAGCCTCTCCTGCTTGATAGCAGGGACAGTGTGTGTGTGTGTGTGTGTGTGTGTGTGTGTGTGTGTGTGTGTGTGTGTGTGCGCTTAGAAAAGAAAGGGTGCTGATTTTGTATCTTAGCAAATGTCAAAGTCAAAGTCTAAGTCAAATTTATTTATAAAGCAGATTTAAAACAACTTCTGCTGACCAAAGTGCTGTACACATGGAATCAATTAATCAGAATAAAATAACAAGATAATAAAATACAATAGAAATATAGAACATTAAAATAGTGGAACGGCCAATGTAACCTGCTTATTCTGTGTTGAAAGCTAAAGACAACAGGTGTGTTTTTAGCCTACTTTTAAATTGATCTACAGATTGTGCAGCTCTAACATGAAGGGGTAGGCTATTCCACAGCCGTGGTCCTGCCACTGAAAAGGCTCTGTCCCCTCGGGTGGTGAGCCTGCTTTTAGGGACACTCAAAAGGAGTTGGTCTGCTGACCTTAGTGGCAGGAGCATAAGGGTACAGCATGTCAGAAAGATAAGGTGGCGCAGTATCAATGTCTGTATAAAGTGTTGAGAAGAGCTATCGACGACTTTGTTTTTCAATTAAAAGTACAGCTGCAGTAACAAGGCACAGAAACAAATATTTATTTTACATTAAAAGTTGAACACAGAACGGGTTTTTTGGTGATACCAAATACTGAGCAGAATCTAACAGATTTCACATTGTCAGATTTTTGATTTAAATAACAGAATTGTAAAATGATCAAATCAAAGATCATAGTATTAATACAATAATAATAATAATAACCTTAATAATCATAACAACAATAATAATAATAATAGCAAAGTAATACATTGACAAAAATAACCTTGCTTTGAAGTAATGTCTCTTTTTTGCCATAAAATATATAATATATATATATATCTAAAAAAATGAAAATGATACAAGGGCCTATTTTAAATTGTGTTTTGTTTTGTTTTGTGTCTTCTTCTTCTTCATGTGGAACATCAAGCTACTTGGCGTATGCACTCCTCCAGAAGTCTCTTTTACGATTGTGTTCTTGCTTCAAATATTCATACATAACCATGTGTCATATAAGAACTGTAATACTACTTTTGCAATAGATTAATAATTCTCATTTTGACCCAATATAGATAGAATTAAAAAGGACCGAACTTCTAAATCTCTCCAAAGAATAATAGTATCTCCCTTTGGTATCGTTTTCCCATAATCTTTACCATTTCCTTTCAGTACCCTGTTAAATTTTGTCTTTAAGTTCTTCTCTTCCCAGTGATATATTTATATCTTTCTCTTCCTTCTTTGGGTCTGCTATTTCATTTCCCTCAACTCCAGCATGACCAGGAACCCAGCAGAACTTGGCATCGCAACCAATCTCTGAAATTCTAAATAAGACAGCTAGAACTTCATTAATGATATCAGAACGGGCTTTTGCTTTACGTCCTCTTATGGTAAACAGAGCAGCTGCAGAATCAGAGCAAATAACTCTTATTCTCACATCCTCAATTCACCACAGGGCTAAAGAATCGCCAGTAGTTCTGTTGTAAAGACAAAACTTCCTTTTGTAATTCTCCGGTCCAGCTGAGCTACATACACCCAGAACCTGCTCTCCCACTCTCTGGTTCCCTAGCACCATCTGTAAAAATGTTCAAATATGATCCCATTACCCTATTCAGATATTATTTCAATTTTAAGGCATTCACTCATTTATTTTTTTCTTGTAAGTAAAATCAATGTCCAGGTCTTGCATTAACCAATAAGGAAAAGGTTGCCAAATTGTGTTATTTGCTGGGATGTCTTGCTCCAGTCTCAATTTCCTGCTCCCCTGATTTATACAGTCAAAAATGGTTTGTTTCTTATCTTTCTGCAAGAATCCTGTGACCCTTGCAGAAGGCATCTTAGCTGGGAGTAACCCAATCAGTTAGATCCTCTTAATTTTACCCAATACTGCAGTGAAGTCCCAACTTAATACGCCTTAAACATAAGGGCGTTTCACCCATTTTAATGAGCAGACCAGGAATTCGGGATGTCTTGAAAGCTCCACAATACAGCAGTGCCTCAGCCTGCTGAAAGTCTAACTTTCTTAGCACTGACTGGACAGCAGAGCCATAAACAAAACAACCGTAATCAATTGCCGCTCTTTTAATTGTCTGGTATACTAACTGCATGGACCCCCTCTCCGCCCCCCAGTCATGTCCACCCGGACGTGAAACTCTTTTTTTCTGGCTCATGAACATAGACTGAATATAAAAAGCTCATGAATCATTCCGGAAGTCTTTGGAGTGGGCGTGGTTAAACGCCATGACGTTTGGTGGCGTTACGTAAACCGTTCGGCGCAAAAATTCAAACGTTGAACGGGAAGAAAAGCTACAGCTTGTTGCCTTTTGTATGCCATTTTATAAATCATTACGCGTCGCAATAAAGCCACATCGGATTTTAAACATTTCGAGGTAAGTTGAGAGGAACAAGAAAGTCTTGTGGTAAAGCTCGTGTGTGTCAGTTAGGTAATTAATATTAGGAACACGTTCATATTAGCTAATGCTCACGTTAGCCGAAGTTAGCGTTGTTTTGCTAAGTTGCATGCAAAGTTAGCGTGAGCTATGAGCTCGTTGAGCTAGGGCATCGTTTGTCGTGTTCGGTTTGAACATTTTAGATTAGACAGACACGTATGCTTGGCAAATAAGCCGTGTTAACGTAACGTTTTGCTATTAGGGTTAACTTGAATAACTTTTTGTTCAATTAAAGTTATATGCGAGTGTCGTTATAGCAGAAAAGACAGAATGTAACGTTACATAATGTTAGCTAGAAACATCAAAGCAGCACTCTCTAAAACAAAAATCTATTTGAGAAAGGATGGTGGCTTAGAGAAAAATAAGTATTTGTTAAGAAGATTTTTTTAATGAGAGGGAAGACTGAAACATAACAAATTTTTCCGCAACGATGGTAAAGTTAACATGTAAATTGGCTGTGGAATGTTAGTACATTTCGTTTAACTTAACGTTAAAGGGCTTAGGAAACTTTAATGCTGACTTGATTCGCTGGTATTTCTTTTGTTGTCAAGGGAAGTCCTTGTTCTTAGGAGACTGTCTTGCATTTACCACTTGAATCCTTATGTTTACATGTGGCCAACTACTGTATGTCAGCTCACTGACGAGTGAAGCCTTCAAACTAAATGTGCAGTTTTTTACACTTTTCCAAGACTGATAGTCGCTCATACTACAAATGCCATGTTATACACACAATCAAAATACTGTATATTCCCCTTTCTCCCCTTTTTCTCCATACTCAAATCACACTTTAACTGCAGTTGCCATATATCAAGAGTTATGGCCAATGAAGTATTTTAAATTGAATATTATCATGTCAGGGGTTTGTTGTTATACTTTGAAACATAATAATAAAGCATAAGTAACATTTTTAACTTGATCCCAGCTGTTTTATTTGACAACTTTGATCTGTGTCAAAATGTAGCCTCTGTGATTGCATGTTTCTCTGTCTCCACCTAAAGATGAGTGCAGCTTCCACACCCGTCTCCCGGGTACGTCCAGGATGGACGTCGTCCTCCTTGATGAACAAGGGTATGTCCCCTGCAGCCTGCAGCACCCCGCTGCTGACAGCCTTCCCCGGCAATGATGACGAGCAGGAACGACGTCAGCGCAGAAGGTCAAGAGTCATTGACCTTCAAACTGCCAATGACTCCTCCTTCAATGACTCTGCATCTCATAGGTAAGCTGTTTTGCAACGCATGCTTTTGACTGTGTTTTGAGCATGATAGTCTGGAGAGCTTGTAGTATAAGATTGAGCTTTAATTTTAAATCATGGCTTTAACAGACAATTTTTGTTTGGCTTGCTAATATGTATTTTGAGATCTTTAAGATAATCAAATTTTTCAATGCAGTGCAGCGGGGACTCCTGCTGCTGTGCCCAAGTTGTCAAATGCACAGATCTCAGAGCATTACTCCACCTGCATTAAACTCTCCACTGAGAATGTAAGTATATGTGCACTGTGTGCATGCAAGTGTCTGGACCACAGAGAAACATTTACTATTTCAAACGGTGTGTAATAATTACACAGGCACTTTGATGTTTTTACTCTTTTTTGTCTTTTACATTTTCCATGTTGTTAAGGTGTCCCTCTGTTTCCTTTTAAAGTAGAGTGGTAAGTGCTAAAAGGAAAAATCTATAAGACTAATCCATTTCCTTTTTCTTTTTGGCAGAAAATCACAACTAAAAATGCTTTTGGTCTGCACCTAATTGATTACATGGCTGATATTCTCAAACAGAAGGATTCTGAGCTCACAAACTTCAAGGTTTGAGGTTTTTTTTAATCTCCTGTATGAGCCTTAATAACTCCTTTGGTTCTTCACAAGTCTTTGAACTTTTGATAATGTTGAATCAGATGTATCATACTTTATCTGTTGTAGATCTATCCCTTGTGGTCAAGAAAAACCTAGAAACCCATAGCAGTCATTCTTCAAAAAAGTGTGACAGATATATCTTGGAATCTTTTTCAGAAATCAGATAGGTGATAACAATCGAACTGATTTACTTTGAAGAAACAGTGATCCAAATAAATAGCCTGCTTTAATGCAGGGCCTTGGGATCTTAAAAGTTTTACATTGTCCTTTTTGAATACCTTGAATCCAGTGAAGTGGCGCATTCCGGTCTTAAATTCATTTTAACAGTCTTGATAAATAATGCGGCATGGTGTTTTATCTGATGAGAAATCGATCCGCTTATTATGCCGCATACTAAGTTAACCTAATGAAAGCTGCAGACACGCTGTTACAGAAGTCTGGCAGGATTGTTGTGAAATGTAAAACAATAGTAGCAATAATAGCAGTGTTATTCGTAGAAACTGTGCCACGTACTATAAACTAGTCATTTTTTTTCATTTATTTCACAAGCAGTGTGTGATGCTTGCATCTATTCCTTGTGTGTACATACTGTATGTGTCCCCTCCTGAAGGTGGCAGCTGGTACTTTGGATGCCAGTACAAAGATCTATGCTGTGAGGGTGGATGCTGTTCATGCTGATGCCTACAGGGTCCTGGGTGGCCTAGGGGCTGAGACCAAACCTGGAGAGAGTGAGAAACTCATCAGAGTGATTTAGTTACTTTCATATGTGCTGTTGAACTTCCATTTGTATACACTGGAGCTAGGGAGCAGGTTTTGTCCTATAGAATGTAAAATAAGTGTACCCACATTAGTCAGTTTTTTTTTTTTTTTTTTTTATGTTTTCTACTCTTTATTTATTTTTAATATACAGACCATGGTCCGACAGAGGAGGAGGACAAAGATGACGGGGCTGAAGTGACTGCCAAGCAGCCGAAGAAAAAGAGGCCTCCTAAGAGGACAGTAGAGCAGAACCTGAGCAACATCAATAGCGCCGAGTCTGAAAGGAAGTGTGAGGTACGGCGTCATCTATGCAAAACAATTAGGGTTGAGCCAGTACTTGACTGAAACAAGTATGCAGTGCAAATAATGTATTTTAATCAGAAAGTTATCAAAAACATTCCTCTGAAGCTCAATTCCAAGCCTCTTCTGTAAATAGTTCAACCTCTTCTTTTACTTCTGGTTAATTTCAGGCTTAAATGAACAACTTTAAGTTAATCCCACCAAAGTCCTTATAGGCAAATCATGCCACTCAGCCGCCATCTTTGCAACGCCTCAGGGCAGCTATTTCGGTTCCTATCTGAATGAATGGGGGGAGAGCCAGAACTGTACTTTAACTGGTCCCTGGGACGTGAAAACTACATGAATAGAATCGGCAGTAAAATCTAATAAAAATTGCTGGAAATGTCTGACAACTTTGACCCAAAATAAGGCTTAAAAAGCGGTTTTCTCGGCTGGTTATACTTCTTCTACGCACGCGTCACCATCTCCACGCATGCGCAATAGAAGTAAAAAAGACCCTTACGTCAGTGGAACCACACAATTGGCTGAAATGTGTTTCCCACTTTGGCTGTTAAAAGCAGACGTTTGGCTTTCTTGCGGGAGAGGCAGGATAGCCACCATCTTTGCCATTACAAGCTTTCCCCGTAGAGTTAGTTGTAGGATGTGATTGAGTGTCATGTCTCTTCTATAAAACGTCTCTGATTCCACCTGCATTAAATTCAAGCCCTGCCCACTCTGAGTACAGATATGGATACAGATTATTTAGTTGGTTTAAAGGTACAGTTTATGGTATACTCTCTCATCCCTAAGAACAATATAAGTTCATATCACACCCTGCCCAGTTCTACAAGGAAAATGGTTGTGCTGTTATTCACGTAACTTTGGTATTTACTATCTTCCATGTCGATTAGATCTGTGGCACTTGAATAAAAATGTTCCCTGTTGATTCATGTACTAGGAAGCTGCTCCAAAAGGATATTTCTTAGCTTATTTCCTCTGGTTCATAGTCTTGGAATCTTTTTGTCAAAAAGGGCTATATGCTCGCATTATTTCTCCTGCTTGACAAGAAAAAAGGTTCCTTCTAAGATGCAGCACCAATCTCACTTTTGATCTGTTGATAGTTTTACTCCTTTAATTGGCTGACTTATGCACACACACTAGAGCCAAACTGATAAATCAGCATGGCGATATGTCGGATAATAAAATCCTCAAATTTTGAAATCGTATCTGTCTTAAAAATGCCAAATGTGTCGGGCTCTAACAGCCAGTGCTCATTACCATTTTATTCATTTATTTGAATTAGTAGAAAGGTTAGTATCAGCCCCACTACTGATCTGGTGTGAGAGATGAGTGCATCTGTAGTTATTTCTCTACCAACGTTTTTCTACTTCTTCTGAGGTCCTGTACTTTGTAAGTTTTGTAGGAAATCATGTACAAAGGTCACCTTACTTAAGTGTGAGCAAAGGCAATATCCCTGCAGTTACACCATATCATTCTATCGCTGATTAAAACTTCATTATCATCTTTACCTACTGAATGTCTGACTGATGACTGATAAGTTCTGCTTGATGATTAAGATCAATTATTAGACACGGGGCACTAAGCTGTCATCTTAGGGAAGGCAATGAGAGATTTCTGCCGAAAGGAATTTTTATCTTTGGTCTCCATTATAACTGCATCAATGTTTTATGCCCAACTGATCCTCATGCTCAAATAACCAAAACATCAATGAAGGACAAATTACTCAGAAGGTTGTTTCAGAGCATTGAATAAGTACTTTTGACCTCAGAGCCATTATCATATGACAGTGAACATGATAAGCTGTCCTTCTCCCACCCAGGTGGACCCCATGTTTCAGCGGATGGCCTCATCCTTTGATGAGAGCAGCACAGCCGGCGTCTTCCTGTCAGTCCTCTTCAGTGAGGACAGTCGCTGCGAGCTGCTGTTTCCCTCCTACATGACCCTCCTGCAATCCAGACCCTCTTACTCCCCTCCACCTCCGCAGGGAGTCCCTGCATCTCCGTTCATGGGTAAAAAAAAACATTTACCAGGCCCAAGAAATGTGTTTTCTCTCATTGTCTTTGTCTGAACCATAGCTGTTCCACAGTAGCAATCCTAAACCCAATCTTTCTCTGCTGTGTTTCTGCCAGCCGGACTGCAGCGTTCCCAGGAGAAAAGCTCCATCTGCCCCTCGCTGCAGGACTTCTCCTTCACTAGCTGGAACCCTGAGCAGGTCAGGAAACAAACAAACCACCAAGTGTGTGAATTGTAAATGACTCATAGACTTCTTTCATATTTCCTAGATTAAGTGGTAACAGAACCCACAATTACCCTAAATGTTTTAATACAGAGCAGTTCTCTAAGAGTGTAAAAATGTAATATTCAAACTGCCTTGACCTGTTTTGAATTCAAAATGTATAGTCTAACAAACCTTTTTAAGTATTTTGCACTGTGGTTCTATAGAGGGTGTTTTTTAAAATTCAGTTTGATCTATTGCATTCAAGAAGTGACACTAGTCTTCAGTGTGCAAACAAGTTAAAATTCACAGGTATTTTTCCACGGAAAAGGAAGCAGATTTTGCTTCAGATATTTTGGGAAATACCGGGATCCCGATTCCTGGCCTACAACCCAAGTGCCTAATTAATAATATATTTTCTTGGGGACACCAATGTTAGGACCCTCACACACCAAGCTGGCCTTGAAGAACATGGCTGACCAGGACATGTATCTTCTGTTAAACTGTGGAAACTGCCCCATTGCATGCTGGAGGTCACTGTCTGATGAAGACAACAGTGACAACCAATTTATCATCCAGGCATCTTCTCTAGGACTGCAGTTTAGGATCCATTGCCTTGTACCCATATGGTCCAAAATCGTCTGCCCGAGTCTTATTTTCAGAGACTGTCAGTTCCCCGCCAGTCATCTGTCTGACTGAGCATCTTCTTTCAGACCATGAATCAGCTCTTGGAGAAGATGAAGCAGGGCGAACATGTGTTTGACGTGAATGCTGAGCCTGAGCCAGAGCCTGAAGAAGATGACTGCCCTGACTTTGACGCTGACTACGAGGAGGGACTGGGCGACTGTGAGGAGAGATCCAAGGAACACAAGGAGGGTTGTGAGGCCACTGTGTCTGGCAAAGGAAGGTAAGATAATGGATGTAGGGCAGTTGGAACAGTGATGTTTGACCTTCTGTTCTGTTTTTTGTCTTGTCTGATGGAAATGGGGCAAATGTTTCCAGAGGTGACTCTCTTCTTTGTGTGTGTCTGCACTTTCTCTCTTTTCTCTTCCAGTACTAATTAATGTGTTGTACGTTATGTTAGGATGAAAGAATAGCCTCTATTAAGTTCTATATAGGAAAAGAGCGTCGTCTTCTTAATTCCTATTTAAGCTTGCAGGGTTAAAATGCATTACCTGTGTAATCATCAAAGTAATTGCACTGCCTATTATCACAAGGAGAGTGGATATTTAATTCATTAGAACACACTGAAGGGGGTCAAAATCCAACTGTTATGCCTCTTTTAACAAAAGGCTAATATGTGTCTGTGCTGGTTTGAATGGTTTCTCGTGATGGTGGTACAGGGATGTGATTCCTATCGGAGAGGGAGATATCGCCACTATGTGTCTGCAGCTGTCCTCTCAGCCCAGGGAGTATTCATACTTCAGCCCCAGGACCATGGCCACGTGGGCTGGACCCGGCTACTGGCAATTCAAGCCAAAGCACAAGTGTGAGTTGAATTCATGGTTTTAACAACATAATTAGAGACAACTGTGGTGTCAGAGTAGAGATGAGAGAAGCAAGTGACCTTAATCAAGACATGTTAATTATTATAATTTATCCTTGTGCTTGGATAAATGTTGTCAATCTAGTGCTATAAAATTATAACAATAAACATATTTGTTGCTCTTTATTTATTGTGATGGGAGTTAATGTAGCTTCAGACTACTGCATTTCTTCTCTTTGTGCTGTCTTTATGAGGAGCTTGCCAGGGTGTTTCTAGTTATTAAATTGTCAGATGTATTTTAATACTTGTAGCATAATGTGCACACATTGCTGTTTTGTATTTTAAGGGCTATGTAGATAAATAAGGCTTTCACAGCCAAGGACATTTCTTAATGGTTGTCCTCCCCTTACTGAATGTGTGCAGAGTAACGATTATCTGTCTCTGTTTTCATGTACTTAATCTCCTATAGTGGACCATTTGCCTGATAAGGAGACACGTAAAAGGAAGCCCAAGAAGATCTTTGAAATCGACTTCAGTGATGACGTCAACTTTGACACCTACTTCCGCACCACAAGAGTAAGGACCCCTCACTGCTTCATTCCAAACACAACCAATTAATTGTTGGAGAGTGACATCTGGTATAAATGTAGTTCCTCATATGGAGAAAAATGCTTATTTGTTTTCTTGGCTAGAGATAGATGAGGAGACTGATAACTACTCTTCTATGTGTATAATAAATATATAGCTAGAGACAGCCGTCTGTTTAGCTTAGCACAAAAACTAGAAACGGTGAAACAGCAGCTAACGAGTTTTTGTATGAATTAAACAAATAAGATGCATATAACGGGTAAACTAGTGAGCAGCAACTTTAAAGGTGCTAGTAGGTGGATATTGTTGTTGGACAGAGCCAGGCTAGTTTTTTCCTCCTGTTTTCAGCCTTTATGCTAAGCTAACAGGCTGATAGCATTGATGTATGTCATAAGTGGACTAAACTTTCATTTATAAGTGTGGGCTGACATCATTATTTCTATAGTTATTTTTTGAACTGATATATTTAACCACTAGATCAAGCATAGCTGCACACATGACATTAAATAGTTCCAAGGGGGCATGGTTATAGCACAGTTTGTAGAGCGTGTACCCCATGTACGAAGCTGAGACCTTACTGCAGCGTCATGGTTTTGAATCCAGCCTACTGCCCTTTGCTGTGTGTTGCCCCCTATCGCTCTTCTACTTACCTCTCTCTTCCACTTTCCTCAAATAAAGGCAAAAAATGCACAAAAAATATCTTTTAAAAAACAGTTATACTACAAATTTTCAACTACTTTCATTTTTCTTTCAACCAAACAATTTTATATTGTTATTATATTATATAATACATTATATTTTATGTATTTGTTATAATATTGTTCGTCACGAACATGTCAGGACAGCTGCATTTGCTGATCTGAGCGCTGTCTCTTGGGTGATGCCTTGGCACCCAATACAGATGATAGAGTTTTAGCTGTAAATTCACTGAAATAGGAAGCAGACTCCGCAAATAAAACCTTATTGCTGTCTGTAGGCATTTGAGACGCTGTCCAAAATCTTTATATCCAGTCAAAGAGCTTGTGATTTTAAATGTGTAGAAACCTAAGAAGTCTTTAAATGTATATCTTAACTGAATCTATCTGGTTTCCCTTCACAGGCTGCCACTACTAACAGCAAGTCTGCCCTCAGTGCCAGCAATAAAAAAACAACTCTACCAGCGGACTTCCAGTTTCCCCCAGAGACACTCTCCCAGCTCAGCCTCAAACCCTCCAGCTCGGTGAGCCCCCACTACTCCTGTCAGCTGACAGAGCTGGTGGAAAGTAGAGACGCACAAACACAAACAAACTTTTTGTTTATGGAGTCGGAGCTTGTGTGGTCCATTACTTCTATAGACCATTAAGGAATTAGAGTTGGTTTGGGAGATTTGTGATTGAATGTAAATGAGACAGTTCCTTTTCACCCTGGAATGGGGTAGATGTCTACTATGACTACACATATAGGAAGCAGTTGTTTATATTTGGATCTTTGGGTCCGGTTCTAATATCTTAGATGCTCTTCAGCACTGATATCACATATGAGTCAGACATTGGCTGAAATATTAACGTCCACACAACCATCAGAACAAATGTACTGCACTCACAGCATATCATTTTCATGGGTATTAGCTTTTTATACTGGATTTGACAAAATTGAGAGATGCTACAGTCACCATATAATGTACCCAGAGTATCTGTAACTAAATACTGATAATTTGTGTATTAAAAAGAATGTATATTGTTTTGTTTACTCCAGTTGAGTCAAGAAGGCCAGAAGAGACTGTCCGGGGAGCTCGGAGAAGGCATTGGAGACTACGACTACAACAACGCAAACGACACAGCTAATTTCTGTCCAGGTCTTCAGGTCTGAACTCCACCTTTTTGATTGAATTTGATTTTACTGTATTTTAACATACTTTATTTATCTAAGAAGTAGGGAGGGTGATATGAGCTTCAAATAATATTGATATCAGATTGGTACCGTATGGCCCTGTATTCTATGTGGTACCTGGTGGATTCACAGCATGTTAAATCAGGCTAAAACTGAGGGCAGAGCTGTGGCTCTGTCTGTCATCAATTCTTTCCCCACTGTGCAACATGCTGCTCTGGTCACTTACTGTGAAGCAAACAATGGGATAATCGATCGGTCATCATCACCTCAATTGAATCCGATCCTTTTTCATCATGTCTCATGGTCCGTTAGTTATCAGATGATGGTGCATGTAGCGTCTCTTGAGTGATGTAGCACCTCTGTTCTTTTTCTCGAACGCTTAATGTAATTATCATTTACTTTAGCCATGTTTGTTGCTGCTGTACGTAATCAAGACGTAAATCCCATACGTCGCTATATCGTAGATTTCATGTCACATATATCACAAAGATTTATACTGGTATTATCATAAACAATGTGATATGGCACACCCCATCTGAGGGACTGAGAGTGGGTAGACCTTTAGGGCATATGACAGGCATTGCAAGAACACCAGGCGGAACTACCTCCTCTGACGTAAATACTGTACTGTAGACTTCTAATGTCCTGAGGAACCAGAGATAGAGGATCAATAATTACAAAAATCTCACATTTTCCTCCTCTTTGCATCTCTTTGTTCATCCTCCTTCTCAGGGTGGTGACAGTGATGACGATGTTGAAGGGTTTGCCAGTTCAGAGGATACACAGCCTTCAGGTGACAGTATACCTGCACCATCACAAGATCTGGAAGGCATCTCGACCTACGGGGAGGATGATCTGGTACCAGAACCACACAGGGTGAGAGACACAAGATTTTAGTCATACTCTGTGTCTACTCCGGTCTTGTCTTTTTCTGCACAATAGTGGCTGCAATTAAAACTGCTTTATGATCTCTTTCTAACAGTAGAATTATAGTACCTGACATAAATGACAGCCAGTAACTCTGAAGGCTGTGGGCACATTTTGCACGATAGATTCTACTCATCTTTAATTGGACTGGATTTTATATTTGTATATAAGTTATTTGATTTTCAGTTTTACATACTTGAACTAACATTATTGCTGCTTCCTGTAGGTCAACAAGATTGAGATCAACTATGCTAAGACCGCTAAGAAAATGGACATGAAGAGACTCAAGAACAACATGTGGACTCTTCTGACTGACAGCCCAGAAAAACCCACAGAGGTAAATCACACTGACTGAATAGCCATGTATCTGCTTTTAATATATTATGGTAAATTCGTTAGGTTTAGGTATTGAAAGGGCTAATATATGGGTCTAATATAGGATTGGTTGCCTAAGAAAGAGCGACAGTGATGACATCAGTGCCTTTCTGAAGAAGTTCAGAGATTTTCACCTAGAACCTCGGAGAAGCCACAAAAAAAAAGTCAGAACCCTCTGGAAAATAAGCTGGGTGCAGCATTTGCTGTAGGCGACAGAATCGACCTGCATACGCTCTTGAAAAAAGACACAGGCCCAGAATCTAGTCTTCGGCCATTGCTCACATTTGGTTGGTAGAGCAGAAATGCAGAGATCTATCGGTGTGTATCTGTGTCCTTTGTTGTACACGTCTGTTTATCAGTTATGCCTTGATGTTCTCTACAGGAGGTGGCAGCTGTGGAGAATCCAGAGGTGTGTGGGGAGAAGGTCTTCAGTGAGACCACAAAGACGCTGCTTCAAAGGTACCAACGGACCTCCTACCATGCATGCGATGGCAAAGCACTAATGACGAATAATAATGACTGAATAGCACTCGCACAAATACATATATGTATCGCTGTTGTTTGGATAATGGTTTCTACTCCGGGGGGGTTACTGTGGTTTGTGATCTGTGAACGATAACACTTGTGTGGGTGGATGGCAGCAATGCTAAAAACTTTCTTAAATGCACTGGGCTTGAACAGCATGATTGATGGAATGTAAAAAATATTGTGTATCTCTTTTTTTTTTTTTCAGGTTGCCAAACACGATGGCTCAGAACCTGTCGGTGCCTCTGGCGTTTGTCGCTCTGCTTCATCTTGCCAATGAAAAGGTGAGGGTTGTTTATGTTAAACATTTTGGCTGGGTGTTTATTCGGCAACTAGGAAATTCCTGTTTCTTCTTTTTTTTTTTTTTCATACATATATTTGGGTAATGGAAACTGTATTGTTCTGTTTGTCGAAGTCCTGAAACAGTTGAGGAAAGTAATAAATACATAAAAGGTCTTGAAAAAGTAAACCCATAGTTCGTTATTGTAGGAAATGCGTGTATTCACATTCTTGCTGAGAGTTACGTGAGTCAGCAGCCGATTAGCTTAGCATAAAAATTGGAAACTGCTAACCTTACTCTGTCTAAAGGTAAATCTTTTGATCTATTACTGTAATGTATTCTGCTGCGTATAGTAGTGCTCTTCACCTTCATTTTAAATATGTATAAACCTTCCATGTTATCACTCAGGAGTTTCAGTATGTCTGTTCCTGGAATGTTCTTATTTAGACATGTCTGCCTATTGGAAAAAAGTATTCATGTCTATATTTGTAGTGTGCAATGTGAAATATGTTTTGTTTTTAACAGAATTTGGAGCTGGTGAAGGTTGATGACATGTCCGATATCATCATCAGACAAGGCCACTGAGGAGAAATGAATGATAGCGTGTTTTAAGTAGAATCGTTGCTGTTCCTTTGTGCTGTTCTCTACTTGTACTTTGTAAATTATCTGATGTTTCTCCGTGACACTCTGTGCTTTTGTTTTTGTTCATTTCCTAGAAAATACAATATGTAATCAGGAACTGTTCAAAAGTCAAATGTGTCTTATTTCTTAAATGGTTTGCAGTCCCTTTCATTCTGTCTGATGCTTATTTGTGTGTAGATATTTAACTGCTCAACCACCACACAAAATTGTATATTGTCAAGAGAAATAAAAGCCTTTTTTTAAAAACACACTGTTATTAATTCCCCCCTCCCCCCTACAATTTTCGTATTCCCAAGAATACAATTGACAGTATTTTTATAGCACACTTGCCTGTCAGGCAAATTGTTTTCCAAAATGGACATAATGGCTTGGATTATATTTAGCTGTTGGTGATTCAGGAAAGCCTGATGCACTGGTCTCACATGACAGCAGGTAATGAACAGCATTTATACTTCACCACCGCCTTCCTATATAGAGTTGAAACCGGTTGGTCAGGGCTGGCCGCTGCTGGCTGGGAGGCACTTGTTATGAAGGAGGTGCAGAGCAGGGAGGAGCCATTCGGTCAGCTGAGAATGACACCAAAGTCCCAACTGTTCTGCAGTCTGTAGCACTGATACATTTCTCTGTCATTGATTGTATTTAGAAAATTCATAGCTAGACTAATGCTAATCCCACATTCTCACCACCATCATTTCCTAATGTGTGCCTTCCTACAGTGAAACATCTTTATCTAACTAAACGGGATCTGTGACATGCAACATTGCTGCTGATGTAGAGATACTGAGTTACTGTTGAGTAACAGCAACACGCTATGTTCTGACATCAGCAATAAGACATAATGAGAGTACAACTTTTTAAGTCAATCCAGAGCTATTAATGTCACTTTCCTGTGCTGGATAATTCGAACCTGAAAATGCTTGATGAACCCAAAAAAAGGTGTCAATTAAAATGTCTGTTAAAAAAAACTCCTGGTTACCAATTTCATAACTTATTTTTGTTGCTAAGCAATATGCTGCTGTTAACAAATAAGTTTTTATAGGGTGAAAGAATAGCTTTGATTTGGTGGATTTAAAATAAAGCTTTGTCATAACTTTCCTTCATAGGTCTGTGCTTACTGTATAGGCTAACCCTTGTTTAGTCCTTTTGTTTGATCATAAACACAAAAGGTGACAACACCTAGCACACGCCTCAGAGGTCTTTGCTCAGCGTAGAAGTATAGAAAATGTTGGGAAGTTGTTTGATTGGGGTATCTTAATGATTCAGTTATTAGGCAGCCAACAAAAACTAAGAAATTGGGAGGGACACATCAAGTTGTTGTTTCAACAATAAAGGAAATGAATGGAAAGAGCCTTCAAAGTAAAAGCAAGCAATTGTCATGGCGCAGGTATGCGAATAAAGGACTGACAAAGTGGTCAGGTCATTACATTTATTATGAAGTGAAAATAATCTATAAAGTATAAACATTTCTATTCTAAATCAACAGTATGCTTAAAGTTGTCATGCTATATACAAATCCAGGCCAATCTCATTTGTGAAAATGTATTTTGTCATTGTAACGTTTGTTTTTAAATGTTTGAAAACGGTAAAAGCTGATTACGTTTAATATAAACCAGGTCCTTAAATGTATTTAGTTTTCACTTTTAACTTTGAGGTTTTTGTATAATTACCAACCCGCTGACTTTACACTGCTAACTTGTATTCCTCGAAAAAGTAACGAGAAGTTTTATTTTTAAAAATATACTCAGGAAATTGCATTGTGGTCCACTTGACACTTGAAGCGAAGGAATTCAGTTTGAAGGAGAGAAAAAAAAAATAACAACCAGGAAGTTATACAGAGGGAGAAACGTATTCGCTCTGGTGGAGCATCAAACTCTTAACTCTTTCAGAAGGTTTTATTTAGGTTTTTAATACAGCGAGGTCAAAGGGCATTGTTTCCGACAAGATGGACTTTGATCCGGTAAGTTAACGTTAGGTGATAATGGTCGAAGCTTGTGTTTTTGTTTAGGAAGCCGCCCCGCCGTCACAATGTTTAGCCTGAAATACGACATGCCACAGGTGTATTTCCGGATATAAGAAGTTAACGTTACATTTGAATTAAAACTGTTGTACCAAGTCTGAAAACGTGTTTCATAAGTAACCGCATTAACTGAAGTCCCAGAGTAACGTTATCCTAACAAAATGGCCTAATTGCACCCGCTGCTGAAACCATGTAAGAATGAGTCCACGGTAGAAATACTGTTTTTCATGCAGTTCAGATTGTGTTTTTTCACTTAACCCAAGTCAGACATTTCACCTGAAGACTTTTATCTGCTGCTTTACATGTTCAGGTTTTTATTTCAGACACAAAACGTTTGTTTTCCGCATTACATTTCAAAACCACAACTCTGCCTCTCAGGTTGTCTGGTGAGCCTGAAGCCAAACTCCAGTGAAGGATGTGTCAGTTTAATGCTAACTTACCTTGCCTACTGATAAGCGACAAAACCCGGCCTAGTGTGGCTCATTACATTTCTTATTTGCCACATTTGTCTCTCAAAAGCACGTCTTATTAACTTGACATAGATATTATCCACCGCGCAACACCTCCCTGCTTGCTAACTTGCCCCAGATCACGACACCAGGCACAAACTGGGGCTAACATTTAGTTTTAACAAAACTATGCTAAGAGAAGGAGTTCTAAAACTTGTCATGTTATTGTAAGTTATTCTGAATTGAAAAGAGGCATCTAATAAAACTTTGTACCTGTTATCCTATAAACTGTGTTGCTGACTTTGTCAAATTTGAATGAACATTTCTGACTTACTTTTTCCTATCAAGGCTCAAGGTCCTTGAAAGTCTCTCAGGATCTTCAAGGAGTAAATTTATTAATACTGTTATTCATGACAACTTCTGAAATTGCAAGAGAGAGTACAAACCTATCTTCAATGTGTCTTTCCTTCCATGTTTGCTCGCTGCTGTGCTTCTAACAGCCATGTGATTAGTTTTTCAACTCTTATCTAACAGATCTTCTCAGACAGTCATTAGTAACAAAGACTTGTCCAGTTTTGAAATATTACCTTCCTTTTCTGTGATGATTCACAGAACACATTGGGCTTTTCAGCTGTGCTGAGGGGAAGTTAAACCAACAAACAGTTATCCTGCAGCATTAAATGTGTCAGTTTTTTTTTACTAGCATCATCATTTATTAGGGTTCTTTGATAAAAGAAAGTCTCGCTGCCTGTCTAGTGTCTGCATGATGTGCATTCAGACCTTGTCACGTACACAGACAGATTAGGGTTGTTTCCCATTTGACTAGATTAGGACATGAACAGCGAGGATTTCATGTGGCCTAACAAGACAAATGAAATCCTTTGCATTTACTGCTGCGGTCAAAGCTTTTACCAGGAAATATTTGATTTATCTAATTTTAAAGAGCACTTCCTTATCTGTGTCATCCTTAATGCTTATGTATAATCTCAATATTTACAAGGTGCCTTATCTGCCAGGTTTTTGTTTGAGTTGTCAAGTTTAACTGAAGACTAAAGTCAATTTCCATGCATGAAACAGGAACACGGTTTTGATGAATTGCTCTACAAGGCTTACAGCGGTTCAAACATTTGAATAGGATACTTAATGTAGCCGAAGGCATGAACACCTTGTGCAGGGCAAGTTTCTGTCTCCCTGTTTCTGTTAATGTTGATACATGATAGCTATCAGCCATTCAGTGGGCCTCACTGAAATACTATCACTAGTACAGGAAAGGGAGAAAGAGAAAAAAAATCTGCTTTATATGGCAGGGAAATAAAAGCAGAGTTAAACAGGATGCACAGCAAGGCATCTGATCAGAATACTGACACATATGATGAAAAAAGGGGGAGATAAGGAACAGAAAAGACTGCAAAAGTGACAGGACAGATTGTACATGATTAAAAAAAAGCAGCTATATAGAAGCAAGTCTTGAAGTGCAAGTGTTGTTTTGAGAGGTGAATTAGATGAACCAACAGCTCCAACAGAACATTAAGAGTGAAGGACAGAAAGCGGGAGTGATAGGGGAGAAGAATATAAAGAAGGCAGGGGAGGGGAACAGGAGAGATGTTGGACAGCAGATGACGCACCAAAACCTGCTGTGTTTCCTAGAGACCGTTTTGTTGACAGTCTGGTGCGGGCTCATGGGACAGTGCATATAACATTTGAAATCACACCTCCAATTATGTGAGATCACAGCTTTTCTTTCTGTTGAATGCAGATGCGCTGTAGCAGGGCGTTCATGTTAAAGCAATCGTTTGACAGCCAGCAGGCCGTGCCGTCACGTGCAGCAGCCCAAGGGACTGAAAGGACTCAAAGCCACCACCAGTTGTCATGATCATTGTTGTGTGAAAATACAAGCCTGTTAGTGAATGAGTTGACTTCTGGTGCTGTATTGAGTTGCGCTGGTGACAGATGAATCCAGCCCTTTTTTTTAAAATACGGTCTATGATCCAGCCACAGTGTGGGGGGGGGGGGGGGGGGGGGGGGGGGGGGGGGAGTATCATCTGTCAGAACAGATGCTTAGGCCATCTTGAGCACAGGTTCATTATGAATTCAAAGTTCAGTTGAACATATTAGCAGAGGCCAGGCCATGCAAATCTGAAAGGGGCTCCCCAGATATTTAGTGTTGCACTTCCATAAAGTTGGGCTCCTCAAAAGAGACATAAATAAAAAGCCGAACGGTCTAAATCAAAGCATTAGACCCCAACATATCCTGTCTGTTGGTCTCAAATATGAGTCAAGTTCCACAAACACTGGATCCTACAATTTACCACAACGCAACTTAAAACCAGGGCAGGTGATTTATTTTCAGAAGCGCTTTTGTTTTTATTTGTTGAAATTCTCCTCACGCCGCGACAGCAGTCTGTAAGTCAAATGCTCTCGAGTCTGACACTGAAATTAAAAGCCTTTGTAGTAGCATTTTGTTTGAATGAAAAGTTTCCTACTCTACACACTTGTTTTGGAGGAGTGGCTTTGGAAAGAGGTCTGAAGGGAGGGTGTGGGATTTTTCACTTGGATAGAGTTTCATTATCTAGCAGTCTGTTGCTAGTTTCTCCAACATTGCCTACTACAGCTTTAATATCTTGTTTCAAACTCCTGCAGGCTTTCTGTTTAAATAATGTAATCTAAACTGAGATATGCCAGATGATATCATCAGGGCTATTTTTTCAAAATTTTAAAAGCTCCTCAAGAGCCACAGAAGACATTATACAGCTATTTTCTCAGGCTGATAAGCACTCTTTGT